ACGGGCATGCGAAACCTTAAATTAGAGTGAATAAATGAAGACTCGGCACACCACTTCTGAAAGGTTGCCGACCCCTGGTTTAAGCCATTAGTCAGTCCCCTTTGGCCTTATCATATTGTAACTCACAGAGTTTAAAGGGGAAAACAAATTCAATGAAGAAACTAATAAAAAAAGTTAGATCAGAATTGCTTTGCAGGCACTTTTCTATTTTAAAGTGGATATTGCTGAGTATCAATAATAAAAAAAAAAAAATCTCCTTGCTATTATGTTTTGTTCCAGAGAATAAAATCTAATAAACCACAGACAAGTTTACCCTGGATTGACATAAAGCACAAGCCAGGGTTGTGATAATTCGCAAATTTCAGCTAACTCATCCGTTATGTTCACTCCTCAGTAAGGTGAATTGCTGGCTTTAGCCTTGCTCTCCCTCTTCAAAGGAAGGAGACTATTGAGTGATCTATAGATTTGTTTAATTTTTTTTTCTTGCTGTGCCTTCCTCCCTTGCTTGGGGTCCGTCCCCAGAAGGAATGATTTATAATTTTTCAAATTAGCTTTACAGCTGCTCCTGTCATTTGCAGCCGAGTCTCCGCTACGGCTGCCTATTATGGAGCGATAATGTTCAGTTACTGCAAGTGCAAAGGCTGTAAAATCTTTTGTTACAATGTTGGCCTGTGACCTAAAAGCTCAGGAGACTGAGATAAAGAAAACTCAGAGCTGTTTAGCCAAGCATATAATCCCCCGGAGTCCCACAGGGAAAATACTTTAGTCTATTGAATGCTTTATTTTGGTTAAATGATACTTTTCCTTGTAGGGACCCAATCTCTAAATAAATAAATAAAGCCAGCATGACCCTCCTCTACTCTGTTATTAATACACATGAGGCCATCGCTTATACTCGGGTAATCTCAGCTCTGTCCACTTACCAGCCATCTGACCTCTCCCTGTAACTCTCCCTAGATAAAACATATCTCTGCTTTATTGGATACTGTCCCCAAAGTGGCTAATGAACAGAATAAAGATCCCCTGTTCCTTCAGGGGAAGTGAGAGCTCAGAAATATTCTTTGCTCTCCCTATTCACGCTATGGGCTTGGTCTGCATCTCTTTGGTAGGCTAAACATAGAGGGTTCTTGTTCAGGTGACTGTTCTGATGTATCAGCATCGGTTCATCTGGCCATCTGCCTCATCCTACTGCGACTGTAGCAGTTTCCCCTGTTTCTTCAAAAACAGCTAGGACTAGGTAAAGACCAAAAAAAAAAAAATGCTGAATGGTTCATTCATGTCTATTCTTCTAGGGTTTGATTCAAAGCCCTGAGAAGTCATTGGAAAGAGGCCAGTTGGCTTTGGATTAGGGTCATAGCCTTCAGAATCATCTGGTCCTCTGTGTGGTATCACATTTGTATCCCAATCAACTATATGGCAACAGTATCCTCAAGTTGGGTCTCTTAGAAAAATATTTCGTCTCTTCCTTGAACACTAAAGTGCTGTTTTCTGCTATGATTTCAACTGTTCAATCAACATCTTTCCCAAAGTAGGACACACTCACCCCGCTATGTCTCTCCTGACAATATAGAGAGTGATAGAACACTGCTCTAAGAGGTGAGGGTCAGAACAACATTTGCCTAGGAAATATTTAAACATCTCCATTTTATTCTGTAGATTTAGAGAGTTCCACTTGTAATAGCAGTAAGAGCCCTTTTGAATAGATTTCATTACTTATTAAAGGCACAGTTAATCAGTTTGGAGACATCGGATTCAATGGAATTCTCAACTGCCTGATGATAGTTAGCTCGCGTTTCTAGCAGCTGTACAGAACGGATCCCCCTTCTCTCTCTAGAGACTAGACTCCTCTTATCCTATTTCCCTGCCAATGAACATTTACTTTTCAGTTAAACTGGGTTAATTTGTAAAATCAACTGTTTGCTGAAAGCCTTGTATGCACTCGAGAGATTCCCAAACTGCAGCCAACTGGGTCTGATGAAATGTAGGTTTATAGGGAATTGTTTGCTTTTGACTAGAGCCAGTGGAATAACTTTTGTGGATAATATTCATTGCACATTTAACCCCTTTTATTTTGCAAAGCTTTCCAACTTCAGTAGATGAAGTATTCCACATAGTATAATTCACATAGTATTCTTTGCAGCTAGCTGTAGGCAGGTCCTTTTAACATTTGAATCTGGTCAGCTGTATGACATTAAGGAGGCTTGGTCTAGATGAGTATGTGGATGGGAGACCAATCAAAACCAATCGGTACTGGTAATTCAGTAAGTAACTGAATTTCATCTGGGTAAATACTGAACTCTTACCTTAGCATACTGCTAAGAGGTGTTGTGCTGACTTTCAGATGAGACAGAAAAGTGTGCTTGAAGCACATAAGATCCCACCATATATTTTTCACATATGGGGACATTTACTCCAATATCCTGACCAAATTCGAACTCAGGTAAATTACATTCTGCGTACTTAAAATCCTGGATATAAATTCAATCAGATGACGTATACTTCACTTTCTAAATCTATCAGGGCAGATCTATTAGTGGAGGTAACTACATTGACATTCATGGAGCTACGCTGGCTTATACCAAAAGTTAATTTGGCCCATTCTGAAATTTTGCTGTGCACTGTGAAACACTTGGTTTATTCTGGGTGCATTTCAGCCAGTTAGTAACGGTTGCAAAGAATTTGGAGACAAAACCGGATCTAAACTCTAGCTTCATTTAGCCATGTTGTGCCATGTAAAGATTAGCACCCCGCTTGCTGCTCATGAAGCAAATAGCTCACTTCTTCTAATGAGAGATGGGGGTGGAGGCTCAGAAAAAATATGAACGGCAATGAACATTCTCTCTGAACTCAAGCCTATGTATGTTTTTAGTGGTCTATGAAAGTTCGACTAAGTTTTTTGTAGAATGAGTTGAAATATTTTCAATGTAAAAATTTCAATGACAATTTTTTCTGCATTTTTAATTTTGACTATAAAAATATGAAAATGTTGAGCTAATTTTCAGTTTTTCTTGGCATGAGTCCAATCAGCTTTACCTATTTGTTCATGTAATTTTCATGTGTTTTTGTGCCTTATGGTTTTGGCGGAGGCCAGAAGTAGAAATACCCCAAGAAAAGTAGTCCTTCTGGTATCTCCTACTTAGATGAAACCAAGATATACTAGAAACTTTTAAAAGATTATGGGAAAATTTCCATCCCAGCTCCCGGCTGATTGAGGCTTAGATAAATTTGGATATTTTTTCGGATAAGAACACCTAAATCTTTATTCTGACAGGACATACCCTCTGGGTTTTTTTCCCATTGCTTGTTTTAGTACAAACTGTTCATCACCTAGAAAAAAATAATTCATCAAGAGTTTATTTCATCCAGTAAGATATTAATTATCTTTCTGGCACTTTATTAATTTCCATTGTAAAATAAAGACTAGAAAGGGTCTTGAAAATGATAGGGTATAGTTCTATTACCTGTCTTGTCATTTCAAGAAGGGATTCTCCAAGCCCCATACAAGTTGCTACACATCAGTCATGTATTGTTCATTATAATTATCCTGTTAGAATGAGATATCAGCTCTGAGAGGCTGTACCGTGGAGAAAGCATTTCACTTGAATGGGTTTATCAGATTTCAGTCCATATTTTACAAAGCTTCTTGGTTCCACGCAATCTGGTTGCAGCAATTTTCTAGATTTGAAGAAATGTGATTCTGTAAATATGTTTTGGCCTCATTAATTGTTACGTTTTTGTTATCTGACTCGAATGGCCTGGCTAGATAATCAGCATGGAATATGGCCGAAAAAAAACAATAGGGTATCTTCTCCTACCGGCTGCAATTAGATCTGAGATAATGTCCAGAATGGAACTACTCCAGTAGGTCAGTACCTAGCTTCTCAAGTAGTCCCCCTGACTTCAGTGAGAGTGCTGGCAGGGTAAGGTACTAAACAACCTAAGTATACCATTGAAAATGTGTTTGATTTTTAACTTGGCTGTCATCATTTTGTTGTGCATGCAGCATTGTAATAACTTCCCAGAAATTGTTTCTGTATAGGCAACAATGGGAAGGATGTGGGTAAGAGTGCCCTGTGCCATCCTTCATAACCATTATTAATCACAATGGGATCATCCAAGGATTCATTTCTACATTGCTTTGTGGAGTAATGAGACTATGTCCTAGAGATTGGTCTAAGAACATTGGCCACGTTCCACTTTGGGTGCTTACATTCTGCCTACATACATGTTTCCTGTAATTTTAATGTAATAAATTAGTCATCCTAACAAACTAGTTTGTAACTTTACTAGTTCATAAAGGCTAATACCTTTCAGCCCCGAGGTGGCTGCATTTTAGTGGTGGGAAAAACTTGCAATTAGAATGACGTTTAGGGTAGTGCTCTTCATCCACGGTGATCACAAAGCACATTAGAGGAACAATTTCACCCACTACTGCTGAAGTGCAGGTGCTCTGGGGTGAGACATGATGGCTGTTTAACAGTACACAACAAAATGACGCAGCAGTTTTCTGTCCCCTTTGAAGTCTTTCATATTGGGAGGTGCTAAATAAATCCAAGGGATCATTATTTTTTATGGCGTGGTAGATATACATGTAAAATAAGAAAAAAATACATGGTGAGGTTTCCTACCCACTGCCCCAACACAAATTCTACTATCTAAATGTACAGAAACCACCATATGTATAATCTCTGGAACAACTGATCTGGTAGACAAAAGAGTTTGATCCTATTCTCATTTTGGTCAATGGCAAAACATCCATTCTTGCGCTAAGCTGAAACAGGATCAGGTCCGTAATTGCGTCTCAGCAAGAAACTTGCTGGCGTCAACCTATGCAGATGAACTAAATGTACAATGTTTAGAACTCCTGTGGGAGAGCAAAATAATCCCCAAATCAAGGCCGGCTTTCAGGGTATGTGTTTAGAGCAGCTGGCAGGTCTCCAAATGAGGGGAAAAAAAAACAAAAAAACAGCCTGACATGTTTGGTTCTTATTGTTTTTTAGGGCAACGTGACTTTTTCCTGCTCAGAACCACCAATTGTTCCCATCACCTTTGTCAGCTCCAGCAGCAGCTATTTGCTTTTACCTGGCACCCCCCAGATTGATGGGCTGTCCGTCAGCTTCCAGTTTCGAACGTGGAACAAAGACGGGCTGCTTCTGTCCACGGAGCTGTCTGAAGATTCCGGAGTTCTCCTGCTTTACCTTCACATTGGCAGGTTGACACTTGTCATACAGAAAGTGGCAGAAAACTCCATGGAGATCAGTGCAGGTACTTTCATTGGCTCCTCTTTCCTGTGCCTGTTTCTAATCTCTGGGGCCAGCCATATTGACGGGGAGAACAACCACCTGAGGGAAGGTCTGATCTTGTTTTTTTGTTATCAAACTGAACCTTATCTTTGGAGCAATAATAGCAGGACTGTCTACGTTAATGCTGGGCCTGAACCAAGGAAGCTTGGATCTGGGTAGCTCTGGCCTGAATCTGCTGAACAACAATTTTCTTTACAGTCAGCCTAAATTTTCTGTAGAAAACCTGACTGACTAACTTCCATTCCTCCATAGAGAAGTAGTGAAAATCCCAGCCTTTGAGCTATTAAAAATGACAGGCTTGAGTTTGATTGAACTCCATTTCCCAAAGGACCCGAGAGGACTGGGTAAAACTGGCTCTAATCCACCTCTATCCCTCCCCCCGAGACCCCAACAATACTGGAGCCAGTTGGGGTCAGTTCGACCCCTGCCACAATTTAGGAAAACCCTATGGCTCCTCTCAGTTTGTGCCTGATTGCAATGACTCCCAGAGCCATGCCCCTTTCCCTGAGCCATACCCCTTTCCCTGGGCCATACCCCAATACACCCCCTCATTGGGAGCTGCCAGGTTGGGGTGGTGCAGGGGTTGCAGTGCTTGATCAACCGCATGGAGGATTCCTTAGTGCCAGGGGAACCTAGTTGGCCACTTAAGCCAGCTCTGAGGCTACTTTATAGAGCTGGAATGGCACAAAGCAGACTTTAGTAGGGCCAAAAATGGAAAAAATACTCTTAAAATAGAATGTATGGAAAAGCTCTGTAATGACTCCTGTGGCTAACTAATAGGCCTGTTCTCTCTCTGTGGTAGATCCAAGCACAGTCTGGGCAGGTTTCATGCAGGCTTCCCATTATAGCACTGTGGATGCCTCCCAGGCATGACCTAGAGCGTTCCCGTCATTAGAATTGTGAAGAAACTGGGACTTGTAGATGTGGCAAATTCATTTTCACTTGGGATCTGAACTCAGACTTCCCAAGGCAAATGAAGAGTGTGCGGGTAGATTAGAAATTAAAAACAAACAAACAAACAACAAATCCATTAGCCAAAAAGTAGTAGTAAATAAAATGATCAGCAACATTAAAATATGCCGGATAGAAACTGGACCTGGACAAATCCCTGGCTCTTAAAGGGAGCAAAAATCTTCGTTTGATAACCTTTAACAGGGAAGAGTTGGTCAGATAGAACCCTGGTGTTCAGGATGTACAGCTCTGCACAGACACTCTTCAAGAAGCTGGCTAAAGTCCCAGGTTGCCCCCAAGTAAAGGTTGAACACAGAGATTTCATCCTTGCAATGAAGTTGTTTGTGAAGGTGGGAGAAAGTCAAATTATTTTGCTTGTTTATGTGGTTGTGAAATCATTAATCTGAGATAGCGCAAAATATCAGTGACATGGCTACATTTACATGAAACATGGGAAAATTGCAAATGTCCACATCTTCCTGCAAAGGCATTTTTGTTCACAAATAGACCCATTTCCACCCCCAATTTGACCTATCTTCTCTTGAACAATTTTCAGACCTTAACAACATTTTTCACTTTAAAATAGTCCTATTCTTGGTTGAAAATTGGTCCATTTTTCCTGGAAAATTGGTCAATTTTTCCTTGGAAAATGTGCATGCTGTATCAAAAGCTTTTATGGAAATAGTCTCATTTCCTGGCTCCTAATTAAGTGATTTCCCCCACACAGTTTTTGCATTTAGTTTTCAGTTGTTAACATGCCTCTACTTATCACTAAAATCCTTTTCACTTCCTCCAAAAAGCAATGTTAATGTGAGAATCCCATTAGCAAGAGTAAATATCAGAAGTCCAATTCTGATCTTGCTTGCACCGGTTTTACGCTGGCACGCCTCCATTGATCGCAGTTAAATTCTGATTTACGCTGGTGTAAGTGCAGTCAGAATCCTGTCCAGTGACCTGTCAGACTGTCAGGATAGATGACCTGGGATTCTTACATGTTACAACATTTGAAGGGTCATAATTCTGACATGGATTCACAGAGTAAAGAAGCAAAGGGTCAGCTTGTCCTCAGCCTTGCACAGGTGTGCAAAAGAGAGAAGACACACTTAGCAATATCCCCCAGGAATGTTCCCTATAGAAGTGGCTGTGCAGAGTGGTACTCTTGGCTTCCAAGGAGCACTGTCATCAAACACAATGCACATTGGCCTCCGTATAGCCAGATGATCTTTTAACTTTATTAAACCTTATTTGGGGGGGGGGGGGGGATTTTCCAAAGTGCCAAAGGGGTTTAGGAACACAAGTCCCTTTGAAAGCCAGTGAGTCTTGTTCTCCTAAATCCTTTAAGAAGGTCTTGAAAATCTCTCCACTTTTTGTTCTATTCCAAAGCACTTCCAGAGGTAATGGACTGAGCAGAGAAGCATCAAATCATCAGCTCAACTGGTTACTTCCTGCAGCCTGCTCTTTGCATTCCCAGCCAGGCTGTTTCATTATTCCCCATGCAGTAGGAGACTGAACATGAAGGAGGCTTGTGAACACCACCACCTCCTCCTCCCCTCTTCTCCTTTACCCTCCGCATTTGTCTTCCAGGCAGCAATCTCCATGACGGGCTCTGGCATTCAGTTAACATAAACGCCAGAAGGCATCGCATCACCCTGACTCTGGATAACGACGTCGCCGCAGCTGCTCACGCAACCACCCTCTCGCAGATCTATTCTGGGAACAGCTACTATTTCGGAGGTAGGCTGTTTCAAATAGATTTCACCGTGCAGGGACTGAGCTTTGAAAGGCCTTTTCTCCTCTGCGTTGTGTGGCAGGGAGTTAGGAGCTGGAATCGCAGGCTCTTGTCCCGGCGATGAGGGGCAACACGTGCTGTGTTGGTGTGCAGTCTGTCGTAGGAGAGGACTGCTGTGGGGCACAAGTGAACATGAGAGAGAAGAAAACAGTAAACAAACCAATATGGATGAAAGAGATTGACTCCCATCAGCCAACGGGGTATACAACCAATACCTCTTCCGCTGCTACATAGCTAGGCTTCCTACTCTCACCATCACAGCTTCGTATGCCAAATCCATCTTTGCTCCTTAAATAACTACAACCCTGCTTAACTTGGGAGCCCAATATAGGTCTCACTGAGGAACTCTTCCAGTGAGCTCCTGTATTTACGAGCAGCCCCGTTGAACTTAGTGGGCTGTTTGCATTACTAAGGCTTCCATCATTTGCATCCATTGCATTAGTAAGGGTTCCATCATTTGGCCCACCTTTGAATTGACCGGCCTCCCCATTGAATGTAGAGGTTACGGTGCCATTACGTTTTAACAGAGAGAGAAAAAAAAATGGTGTTGAAAGAGATGTGACCAATCTGGGACAGAATACGAAACTTTCTGTCCTGCCTGCCCTCTTTTGAATTAAAAAGGAATAAAAGTGAATAAACAAACAAGGCCGTTATCTGGAGATCTTCAGGACAGGTCATCCTTAATACAGCTATATTCCAGAAAGATGCAGAGTATTTAAAAAAAAAAAGTTTGGATCAAGGGATATAGTTTTATGCACTGGTATTAGGCAGGGGACAAAGAGGCAGGACTCCTGGGTTCTGGTTTTTTGGCTCTACCGCTTTGAGTTTGGGTGAAGCACTTATCCTCTCTGTCTCTCTCTCAACCCGTCTCTAAAGTGAGTATAAAGATGCGGGGGTGTTATGAAGCTAATTCTTATTAAGGACTTTGACATGACAGACACCACATATGCTTAAATCAGAAAAATCTGCCTTTTTTAGCTAATGTAAAGATTTCTATGTTTTACTGAAAGTGCCTCTTATGGTATGTCAATCATAAGCGATACAAGGTGGGTGAGACAATATCTTTTATTGGACGAGCTTCTCTTGGTGAGAGAGACTTTGAGCTTAGAGCCCTGTGTCAGCTCAAAAGCCTGTCTCTCTCACCAACAGAAGTTGGTCCAATAAAAGATATTCCCTCACCTGTCTTGTCTCTTTAATATCCTGGGACCAACATGGCTACAACACTGCATAATCATAAGTGATGTTCAGAAAGGCCGTGTGTTTTAAAGAAAGAGTTAAGTATATAGGGTGAAATTCTGATATTTAGGTCTGTGTTTGGCCCATCTCCCAAATAAGTATGTGTCTATATGACAAAGACCCGTGCTAATGTGCTTATTCTGACTAGATGCAGTCCCCATGAAGAGCCCTTCTACGCCTAAGATTAGTCTGTTTAGGAGCATGGGTCATTATCAGGGAGGTGACTGTGTTAGGAGCCACAGTAGGTTGAGTGGATGAAAAGACAGTCCTGAGCCACAGAATTCCATCTTCCTGCGAGAAGAGAATCTGTTTCTTATAAGAATTCAGGTCTAGATTCACGAAGGTATTTAGCTGCCTAAACCCACAGATGCCCAATTCTAGGGTTTAGGCATCCGAGTCCCAGTTTTGGCTCCACTGCGATCCACAAAACTCCCGCCAAACCCTGTGGGTCACTAAGCTTACTTAGTGCCTATGTTGTCGGGTAAATGTTCCCTCCATACCTCTGTCTCTGCTTCTACACTGCTGCCTCACTCTATGCATCCAGATGCCTATCTCCCACTTAAGCCCCAGAGCGATTCACAAACTGAATGAGAGAGTGGTTGGAGCAGGGGGCCTGAGGCTGAACCCTGGGTCTCCCACCTCCCAGGTGTGTCCTTTAACTACTGGAATACAGAGTCATTCTCTCTCTTGCTGGCCCAGTGACTGTTCCACTGTGGATGATACATACTTAGTGAGCTAGAGAGAATGAATGTGAAAAGGACTCTCTAGTCTGGTGGCTGGATACCCACCTGAAGTGGGAGACCCCAGTTTCAGTCCCCTTGCTCCAATCACTCTTGATCCACAGTGGTACAGACTGACGGAGCACCATATCAGACTATCCCAAAGATTAGTGATTAGAGCACTCTCCTGAGAGGTAGGAGACTCCTGTTCAGATCCTTGCTCCCGACCTGGCAGAGGGGGGCGGGTGGGGGCTTGGGGTCTGGGTTTCCCACATCCTAGGTGAGCGCTCTAACCACTGCGCTAAACATTACAAGGTGGGTGGCGGCACCACCTCTCCCTCCTGCTGTTTTCTGGTCAGCAATGCAGCTACCTAACTCATTCCTGCAAAAAAAAAAAAACCCAAAAAAACCCTCAGGTGCCTAAGCTGCCTGACCCCAGGAGAGGGGTTGCCAGGCATCTGGTTTTCAATAGGCATTAGGCCTAAACCCTATGGTTTAGGCAGCTAAATACCTTTGTGAATTTAGATCTGAATTCCTGTAAGAAACAGATTCTCTTCTTGCAGGAAGATGGAATTCTGTGGCTCACGACTGCCCTTTCATCCACGTGACCTACTGTCGCTCCTAACACACAGTCACCTCTGTGGTGATGACCCATGCTCCTGAACAGACTAATCTTAAGCGTAGAAGGGCTCTTCATGGGGACTGTATCTAGTCAGAATAAGCATGTTAGCAATGGTCTTTATCATATAGACACATGCTTATTTGGGAGACGGGCCAAACCCAGACCCATCAAATATCAGAATATATAGGCACCTATTACCCCATCCCCCACCCCACCCCGTCCCGATTTTTTACACTTGCTACCTGGTCACCCTAACAGAGTCTGACCCATAATAATTTTTAAATGTTGCCTGGTGTTTGCTCTGGGAGGAGTTAACTATTGACTGTAGCGTTTAAAGAAGACAAAAGAGCATTTCACTGAGCTCAGCACGTCGGAAGCCCTTGCACCTGGTTTCCTTGGCTGGCTGCTCTCTCTCTGTATTACCATCGGATTTATAACACACAAGCTTGTTCGGGGCAAGGAAAGAAAACAATAGGAATAATTAGATCTCAAGGTCTTGCATCAGGAAATCCCAGCAGAAATAAATGCTCATTTTAACACTCTTCTTCATTCTTTTTCTTTCCCTTCCTTCCCTTTTGTCCCACAGGGTGCCCTGACAATTTCACCGAGTCCCAATGTTTAAATCCCATTACTGCTTTTCAAGGCTGCATGAGGCTCATCTTTATTGATAACCAGCCCAAGGACCTCATTTTAGTTCAGCAAGGTTCCCTGGGGAATTTTAGTGATTTACACATTGATCTGTGTGACATCAAAGACAGGTAATTATTGTCTCTTTTCTCCTTGTATTTTTTTTCTTCTTTTTTTTTCTTCATCCTAGCAGTTTATAAGTGCAGGTTGCTTTAAGTGACAATTCTAATCAACATTACAGATATTAGGCATAATAGAGCTGCTAATAGAAGATATCACTGCAAAAATAGAGGGAGTGCAGGGAAATTGTTTAAATTATAGGAGGTTCTCTTAACATTGGCTCACAGGAAATAGAGTATGCAAATTCAATCAAGCTACAGATTTGTGACGGGATTAAATGTTATGCATAAACAACATTTGATTGCTTTGAAGTTTAAAAGGAATGGGAGAGAGAAGGAGAAATTTATTTGATTCATCAAAACATGTCATCTCCTTAATGTACTCACTGTTTTGTTTAAATAGAGCATTTATAATTTTCTTGTTAGACTGTACGACATACCGCATTTATAATAGTGGTCTGGCACATTGCACTGGCATATTACAAAGTCAATAGGACTAAAAAATGATCAAGTGTCTGTATCTACCAAGCAGGGCCAGCTCCAGGCACCAGCTGAGCAAGCTGGTGCTTGGGGCAGCAGATTGTTGGAGGCGGCATTCCGCCCAATCCTAGGGTGGCACGGCCGCTTTTTTTTTGTTTGTTTGTTTGTTTTTGTTTTGTTCTTGTTCCGCTCCGGCCGCCCTGTAGGGGGCGGCGGCGCAGAGAACCAGAGCGCCCTGCAGGGCAGTCCTCTTCCTTCCCTCCCCGCCGACCAGAGCGGAGCCCTCGCGGCAGGCGGTGGCGCAGTGGGAGGGGCCGCGTGGCAGCGCCCCTGCTGTAGCCCTGGCCGCCCCCTT